TACATTAATTTGTGTAAGTATAAAGTCCCTGAAAATATTAATTAACTATAACAATCTCTACTTATTAAAAGAATGTAAAAAATCCTTGCTTATTAAACAGTTTAAACTCATCTCTGCTGCAAGTAAACAAAACAACAGTGAGTCTGCAAATTTAGAATACACAAGGGGCGGAGCTATCACTGTCACTCAGAACCTTTTTCACACATGAGTGAACAAAGCAGTCCCAGCAAGCAGTCCCGCAGAGGTCCCAGAGCAGTCCCGGAGACTGCTTTCTGGGACTGCTTTGGTGTCAGGTTGGGTCTGTTTGGTACTGTACATGAAATTATTAGCAATAGTTACTATTTTATCTCAGACAAAGACACTAAAAATGTTAAAATGGTGTGATAATAAAACATGCTCTTGCTGTCCTCTGTGTTGAAATTTCTTTATATCATGATCTGATATAAAAACTATGTCTGAAAAGAATAAGCAACGCTTCATACTTTAACTAATATCCATATGGCTCTAATGTTTGTGTTGTTTTCTGAAAATGAAATTGAATATTAGATATTCTCTTAATGAAAATTTGAGCAGAGGGTCGGGGCCCCTTAAATTTTCTAAAGCAAAGTACGGAAAAGTATTAAGGATTTTCATCTACATGTGCAATGCACGTTTGGGAACCAGTAGATTGCCTGGGTGTCAAAAGAATCCTTATAAAATACGTTTCCGGGATTTCAGGAAAAATACATCTGTGAAAATGAATTATCTTTCTTCTGAAAACAAAATGTAATACTTAAAAAATTCTACATTTTGTACTTGAAAAATTAAACAATTTTAAAAATGATCCTTAAATAGATGCAACGTTTTCAATTTATAAGGCTTTTAAAATTGCATTTATATATTTTTTTGTTAAAATACTAGTATTCTAATACTGAACAATTTGAAAAAAATATCGCTAAAGAAATAGAAGATACTGTTTCTACAATAAGTTAATTTCACTGAATTAATTACTTAGAACTCTCAATTAGGAAACTCTAATAAAGAAACCTCTGAATAGTATTCTTATTTATTGAAAGTTATCTCTCTTAGGGTCGGTGCCGTTTGATAACAGAGCGTTTCTCCAAAACTTTCTCTTCACCCACTTAAAACAGTTTTAGGACTTTTAGAATTGTCGAATAACACAGGTTTGCGTGGCATCAATAAATCTAAATTAATCTAATTTCCTTGTAGTGAAATATATAGAAAGGGAAAGTTTTTAGTTATGGTAATTGTCATCATACAATTGGTTGATTTATTTAAAAACAAATTCTATCACTGCGACGTTATGAAGTTTATTTCTCTTCGTCTTGTTTTACCCTTGCAGTACTGGTTTCTGATGACAACTGGGTTAAAAATGGACAAGGGGTTTGCTTTGACATAGAGTAAGTAAATATATCAAGTGATTATTAAATTATAACTGTAGAATCCTGTCTGCATGTTTGGTTCTTACCTGTAGGGGGAAACCGAGATGTTGCCCTGGGTATAAAGAAGAGGATGGCTCATGTGTGTGTAAGTTGAATTTTATCTAGAGAAACTGGAACAACCAAATAATTTGCTATTTCAACTATATTATACCCATATGTAATTTGAAAAGGTGTGCAAGATTTTTTGTTTTGTTTGTCCGTGTGTTTAACGTCACTTCGAGGATTTTTCACACATATAGAACTTATACCCTAACTATAAGCAATAAGGCTTTTGAACATTGAAAAATTATTTTGAGCCAGTGCCAGCTGAAACACGGGGTCTCGGTTTCTCTGGCTCATCAAACGGACCGCGTCCTACTGTGAAAATCGAACCAAAGAACCTTAATCAATGTGCTACTTGTACACTGGTTGGAAAATCTAACACAATCTCATTAATACCTATTTGAAAAAGAAATTAACAGTAACATTTAATTTGCGTGTTTATAAAAACATTTTATAAGGAAATGCTGAAAGTCCCCACAATCATAGCTTAGCTTCCAAGCCCTAGAGAACTAAGAGCCCACTAGCAGAGGCCTCGACCCAAGACTCAAAATGTAAATTATATACGGTACCACTTTTGATGCATAAGATGCACATTTCGATAAATAATGGCTCTTCAGGGATGCTCATGCAGTACATGTAAGTGGTATATAACCTATTAGCCTCTTTTAAACTCTTTAAATTTTTCAATTACAATGAAGCGCATTGAAGCGGTAAAGTATCACTTCATTATAAATAGGGATCTGACCTATAGGACCGGGCTTGGTTTTTTCTCTACAAAAAGCTCGTCGATTTATTCTAATTAATGGCATTAGACTAATTATAAATACATATAAAAATTTGATTTTTCTAAATCTTTATTTCCAACCCAGGGCAGGGTGCCCCTAAAAACATATCTTAAATCTTTCCTTACATCCTAACCTATCAAAATATCACAATTCTAATAAGGGGCAGGCCTGCCCTGATGGACTTCAAGGCCAAAATTCATGCAAAAACCAACACTTTAACGGACAAAATGGTGTGTCGTTTAACTTTGGAGGCTTATTGTAAAGTTGTTAATAATAAAATTTAGGTATAAAATACAAATTTGAAAAATTTAGACACATATACATGTACGGTAGAAAACAACAAATAAAAATTTATTTTTAAAAGTAACTTTTTCCGGAAAAATGTTCTCTCCTATAGGTCAATTCTTTTGTTAAAGTGAATACATCCTTTCCCGTTTGAATGGAAAGTTTTGAGCTATCTTTAGAACGTTAATTGTCATATAATGACACGCCCATTTTTTTAGAAAGGAAAATCGGTCAAATGGTTCATTCGAATACCTGTAGAACAGGTATTCCATAAATATAATATGCAATCAAATTGACGGTCTACATAAACACAGAGTAAACACGTGTTTAAACAATACATGTGCTATGGTAACTCCAATAAACATGATGAATTCATAATTATGTACAATTTCGTCGGAAGCTGGACCTTTCTAAATCTCTCTTATAACTTTGAAAATCTCCGTTTTAGTGAGACTCATGTTACTTGTCGCAAAGAATGGGGTGTCCTAAAACATTATGACGAATATTTCTTGTTTGTTTAAAAAAAAAAAAGAATGGGCATGCCATTCTGCAATAATTGACGTTCAAAACATGACTCAGAACGTTTCATCCAAATGGAAAATTTTACCACAACAATGCGCGTCGTTGTATATATATATATATATATATATATATATATATATATATATATATATATATATATATATATATATATATATATATATATATTTCGGATTTCCGAAATATTGGCATGAGCATCACATAACTGATGAAACGTCGTCGATATCGATATCATTTTACATGTATAAATATATTTTAGAAGAGTCTGGATTTTATTAATTTTTTAGAAATCCAACAAAAAATAAAAGACCACTATTTAAAGATGACGTCTTTAAAAATTACATTCCAGCACCTAACCTATTTAGCATTCCATCTAACCAAAATGAGTTCGATCTACCCTGCCTTTATTGATTTCGAAACAAACATCCCCATAAAATCCTTACAAACGTAGTTACGTGATAGGGTCCAGCAAGTGCTCTGATAGTGTAAATTAAATTTTAAAAAATGAGATTTTCAAAAACTCCAAAAAACTTGGAAAATTCTTCATCATTTTTTTTCAGTAAGTAACTTACATCAAAACATACAATTCGTCTACACTTTATACACTATTCTTCGCAATAAATAAAGAACTATATAGAGTTTTCGATATAGCCAGTTGCTACTTTAATAAAAAATGGATATAAAAATTGTCCTATCTTGTAATTAGTCATCAACAAAATTTCTTTGTTTTAAATAACTCTGATTCTACACACAAGTACTCTGAATATAACATGTAAAGGATGCTAGAGCTCCTCAACATTTATGACGTCTTCGAAGACCACTGGTGCAAGGTGATCGTAACAAATTAGATGTAGTTCTATAAATGAATACTGAAAAATGAAGTTGAATTTTACAAACTGCTCGTACTTTAAGACAGATACCATAGTTCAAGCTACGGGTGGAGTGGAGTAGGCATTTTTATAAAAGGGCTTTCTCTGTGCTGAATGTACTTTTGCAAGAAACACCTACTTTAACACCTAACGCTTTACTTTGACTTTTCAGCATTTATCGTGTTCAGAGGTGCATAATTAATTGATCATACATAAGAAATCTACATTTAGGTATGGTGTTACGAGTACCATCATTAAAACCGGGAGTTGGGGAGGGTGGTTGTTATTCTCTTCAAGGACTACATGTGTTTTAAAATAACCCGTTATTTTTGTTGAATAAATGTTGAGGTAAACATTTACGTATATTATATCGTAAAAAATTAAAGCTTCCGTACTTTGTCTTGAACAGTGTAAAAGTAAGCCGTTGATTGTAAAAGTCAGTGTTCCTCGCAAAAGATCAATAGGAAAAAATTACTCTCTTTTGATACTCTGAGGTGCTGGAAGTATTCTATACAAGTGAATGGTAGAATGAATTTGAAAAAAGCTATATTACAATGTACAATGTACATATATATCCGCCTTTTAGGGTGGTTACGCGAATGAACATATTCATTAAGATTTTGAACCATTCGTTATTTATTTCAAACTTATGACCAGACATTTTCTCCTTTTTTGAGTGAACCTTTTGTTTGAACTAATTAATTTATTATTTTGAGTACCATTTCTATAAACTAAAATAATTTGATAGCAAATTGCAAATTTTACAGTTCTTTTGAATCTAGCACGACCAAAATATAAAAAAAAAAACATTGCTTAAAAATGTGAATTTACCACAATGAGTAAGATTCATCTATGTTAAGTTTTGTTTTTTATTTGAAGTACATTTTTTTAAAGTAATAACTGGACTCAGTGATGGACCTGGAGTTTGCAGGAGTGTAAGGTAATTGCATATATAACAAAAAGTGTTATAAATGTTATGTCAAGTGATTATTTTATTGAATTTGAATAACAATTCATGTCTTTCTATGTTCATATATAGTGGTATTCTGAGATGTTGCACAAACTATCAACAACACAGTTTTGACTGCAAACGTAAGTTTACTTTTTGGAAGTAAATTAAAAAAAATAAAGTAATTTTATGCAACCTGATACAATTACAAGTATATTTAATAAACCGAAAATTAAAGTGTAGTTGGCATTTTGAAAAGGGGTGAAGTTTTTTGTGCAAAGTCAGCACTTTCTGTGACAATGGATCTCAAAATACACAGTCCGCTCAACCGGTCTCCAGGTCCGTCAGTGGGATTCGAACCAACAACAGAAATGATCCACTCCTTTCTTTGCAACTCTAGAACAAAAGTTCTAATCACTGAGCCACAGAGGCAAGTTAAAAGAAAAAGATGAAGTGCATAACGGACATTAATCAATCTAAAGTAAATTCATTAATAAAAAATGCATTGTGAATGGGGAAACACAGACGGACGCCTAAAACACCTAACTTGGGATCAGGTATCTAAATGGAATAAGCGTCTCATCCTGCTTTTGTATTTATATTTAAAAAATAAAATGCTTTCTTTGGTTGTTACTACCTGAATTTATGTCGCAGCCGTTGCAGAAAAAATACATACCCCGGTAACCCGCTTAATCAAATGTTGTATTTAAGATGAATATGTCATTGTATGCATAAGTGATGGAACAATCATTGTTCAAGAAATCTACGCACGTGGCTTGCTTAGTGTTGTTCATGGACTGATTAATGGCAATAGTCTTCATAATAAATAAAGGAAAACTATTCAGTGGATGTAAATATTAGATTATCATTGTCAAATAAAAGGTGATGATATAATATAAAAAAAATGGCATAAAATATGTCATTGCCAATTCTATCAAATCGTGTTTGCTTAGCGTTAATGTGGACTGCCTATCTGATTAGTTATTATATTTATCGAATACGACAGGTATTGTAATGAATTATTTGATCGTTTAATTTTTATTCTGGAGAAATGGGCGTGTCATCATCTATTGTTGTATTGAATACAAGAAAAACAACTTAGATTAATTTTGTTGATAAACATTTATAAAGTAGTTTTAATCTCTAACTCCTGGTACCCAGACAAAATTAAGCATTCTGTAACCTAGCCTATAAAATATAACGCTCAATTCTTTTCAACATTATGGTATTATATGTGCCCGCCAATAATGTTCAATCAAAAATATTTATATTCAGTGTAATTTTCTTAATGAGATCTATAAAACTCTACGACATTTGAATCTCTATAATTCACGCGAAACCTTGTGACCGCTCACCACAGTACTTATATGTAGGAACTATATGCATTTTTACACTGTATCTAGGAACACCAAAATGTATATTGTTTTGTTAATTTGCGTTATTTAACTTTCCAACTTCACATACGGCTTCTGAAGGAGCACACCAGTTCTAAAAGGTGCTAAATTCATGATAAATAATTATGAAAGACAAAAATAAGAAAATGTTATTATAAGCATTGAATTCCAATTTTTGGATGCTGTCGGTCCTATAACACACCTAGCCGAGCCGACAAATTATAAAACTACGCTAACGCGCGTGATTAAATTTGTCGGCATGGCTAGGTGCCGGTGTGCTATAGGACTGACGGCATCCAAAAATAAGAATTCAACTCTTAATTATTGCCATACTAGTACCTCTGAACAAGCAAAAAGCAACATTCTAGTACTCTCGCTCAAGACGTCCGCTTTACTGTCTTTACGTTAGGAGAGTGATAAAAATATCGACTGATACCCCTCTTTATAAAGGATGGTTGTAGTTGATATTGTAAATATACTCTTCAAAATAAGAAACGCATAATTTGAACAATGCCTTGAAAAAATGTATGGTAGTTTTGCCATACCTTTTTTTAGATGGATATGATGCATTCGCGTGAGATGCGTTAGTTTTAAATGCAATCGTTAACTTTACAGTTATTCTACATGTCTCAAACACAAAAAGACTTGATTTTGCAAAATTCCCCCAAATTTTTTTTATCTCAATTTTCATTTGTTGGTTTCCGCTGCGAACCCTTCTGGTACAAAGGGGCTATCAAAAGCGGGGGTTCTCGATGTTTTAAATCTGGTTTATCTTAAAATTGACGCATTTTAAAAATGTTAAGTCTGAATGTTGCATAGCACAAAAAGGAAAATGGGCAACTGGAAGCAGGGGTACCACAGTCTACAATTGCAAGAGGTTTTAATGTTCCGCACAGTGCTATATCTAACCCATAAAGCATAAACCATTTACATAGAACACCCAATTTTCGCGAAAAAATACTGTAGAGTGCGTGTGACATCAGCAGCAGGGCACCACTTTAGAGGATTACGTAAATTCCATGAATGTAACACAATGACGCATTGGCTATCCCTGGACTGCACAGATCATCTAACAAGATCGTTTCCAGTTGACTACGAATTATTGCAAGAACATTATTCATGCCATTGTTCCAACCCCACAACATCCCAAAAGTTGACTTCAAAGATAATAGATCAATAGAGTATGACCACAGCACCATCGCTGAACACTTTGGTTAAGCTACTAGTCCAGAATGTTAATTGGAAAGCCTCTTTTAATTTTAGAAGTGCTAATACTTTGTAATGAACGTTCGACAGATAACTGCCGTCAGGACGTTAAAAAAGTTGTTGTTGGTAGTGTAATGATATGGAAAATAGTATCATATGAAAGTAAGATTGATTTGGTTCGAATTCAAAGGATTTTGATGGGAAAAGGTACTCTAATCATTTTCTACCTACACATGCCTGTTCAGTTTTGCAGCATCCTAGAGTCTTATTACAATCTCACAATACACAGCTACATACGGCTCGTTTGCCACTCCCATTCTTGGCAACCGGTTCGTGCCACACTCATCCAAATCGCTAGATTTAAACCAAATTAAGCAGCATTGGACAAAATGAATTGACATGATTTGCCAAAGACAATCGCATCCCAAGACTTTGCCACAGCTAACCAAATCTCTACATTTGGAGCTGAAAAGTATTCCTATACAGATTTAATTACACACATTTGCTTCCATTAGATGCCGTATGTTGCTATCATTTGTGTGTCTGTGGGGGGGGGGCATACTAGATATTGATCTTTAATGACCTGAAACTGACAATTATTTTAAAATCCATGAGTAATTATGACATTTAGATAGTATTCCTGTTGTTAACCACATTTCTGTTTTATCAATACATCATTTTACTAAACAATCTTTATGTTCAATGTGTCACTATAATTCTACTATGCGTTTCTTTTTTTGAAGAGCATATAACGAAAATACTATACATCATAAATGATCATTCTGGAAATATAACGTCAATAATATGGTAGGTTTCTAAGTTTTACGATCACAGGCCTCACAATAACCCATTTCTATGTTATTTTCCTTTAGGAAATAGCGTCCACAGACGTCGAACACTTCAGTTTTTGAATATATTGTGTAATAACTTAATTCTGGTTGTAACGCTGTATTTGATTGGATAAAAAATTTACTTTATATCGTATAAAATGGTTGGCCTACGTCACAATGACTTGCGTCAAAAACATATCAATCCGCCTGACGTTACATTCAAATTTTGTACAAATTGAAGTCATTTTGTAAGAACAATCATCTTTTTTTCTTACATTAAATAAATGAAAATTAAATTAGAGGCAATGAATTTAATAGCTACCCATTTTATACGGTATAAACTGGGTTGGAACAGTTTACGCTTTTTTATAAACCGCTTCGCTATTAAATTCATTCCTTAAAAATGCTTTGAAAAGTCATGTTTTAAAAATCTTTGTGGATGATACATGTGCTGTATGTTTCCTGAAAGAAAATTTTACTGAAAATTGATGTCTTCTGCAACTTTTTAAGAGAATACGGGAAATGCACAAGTTAATGACGTAACAATCAATTAGATCATACAAGAAAAAAAATTGTAGGATTTTACTACTGGAATTTCAATAATTAAGAAAGGATGCATTTTAATTTCTTACATCACTTCCATATCTTATAAAAATACAGGGTCAATTTGTATTGAAACCATACCTTGTTCTCTAAGAAAACATATTTCTTGTGCATGTAATTTTACATGCACAACGAAATGTTATAATTATGCAATTATCAAAGCTGACACATTTTTAAGGTGTTTCCACCCTCACAATTTTTATGGTTCAAAGTACAAAAACTGCATTTTTCTTTAATATACATACAGTCAAACTTGTTTTAAGAGGCCACCTTTGGGAAGTCTGGAAACTGGCCACTTAAGACAGGTGGCCTCTTATTCCAGTTTGCCCTCGAAAAGGACATTTGTCAATAAATAAACAACATTAAGCACTACAGTTTAATTAATTAATCATAATTAAACAGTTCAATTTCACAAAAGCTTTTTATGTGTATATATAATAATTAAAGCTCATTTAAAAAGAATACTAAAGAATTCGAAATGTTTAAGGTTTTGTGCATGTTTCTGTTCCTACATATTAGTTAAACATCTTGCATTCATAAGTGTGCTGTTGTTACATTGAATTATTAAAAAAAAAATCATTTTCATTTGAAGAAATACATACAGTGCCTGACTATTATCCTTTTTATAAAGAAAAAAATACACAGAAATACAGTTTAATGGTTAATAAAATAAATCATAGGAATTTAAGTAAAAATATGTCAATAAAAATTCACTTACATATGTTAAAAAGATAGTCAGCAGCGTACCCCCCCCCCAAACTTAATCAATCGGTAATTAACTTACTTACTGAAGTTTATAAAGTCTGATTAATTTCATTGTTTATAAAGCTGTCAGAATTTCTATATAACATACACAAAAATAAAATTAACCAGTTGACCAGAGATATGTATTTACGCAGTTGAAAATCATTCCATAACACAGGTGTCAAATGCAGTAGAGCGTGACTAATCCCTATCAATCGTCTCTTGGTAGTGAAATTCACGAGATAATCATGCCATATGAAGCACTTTGTTTTTACAAGAGTAGCAATTAGGGCTTCTACATGGAATCAAAATCTAAAGGTGTGAATTTCTTTAGCTAGAGGAAAGTATCAATTGTACAGTAATAAAATTCTTTTAATTTTTCAATCGGCGATCTTGAAAAATAATTACCAATTGATCTAACAGGACAAATATTTATTTTTTTCGTGAACAAAACCCGAGTTCAGCGTATCTAAAAGCAATTTCTTTAATTGCATTAATAGGTTAAATTGACTATCGAGGATATAATTGCCCAAGCCATCACAATTAAAACTGTGATAGAATCGCAACAAGTGACGAGATGGCCGCCTATTACAGTGTCAATAAGGCTGTTGGGGGAGGATTTGAGTGGCCGCTGGCCGCGTTACACAGGTGGCCGTTTATTCCAGTTAAAATATATAGTAAAAATCATTGGGGGGAACTAAAAGTGGCCGCTGACTGCAAGTGGCCGTTGATTTCGGGTGGCCGCTAAGAAAGTTTGACTGTATTTGTACTTTAAATTTTCTAATTATTGCATAAAATGTATAGATCACCATATCATTCAAGATGGGAAGCTTTAAGTAACAGAAGTGTATGCGCCAACATAAAAAAAATCGCACATTTTTGGAAAACAGTATTATGAAAAATATGTAAAAACTGTTTAAAATGCATTATTCTGTTACTGAATGTTCCTAAATACTTACTCTCTACAATAACAATAAAGCAAATGCCCGAATGAAGAGCCCTTAGAAGGAGTTATTGCCCTTGTCAACATTTTTTTACGATTAAATAATTTATTATACAAAGAAAATATGCATTTTAAAATTTTTTTTTACATAATAATATTTATCATTACACCTATTGTAAACATTCTTCCAAAAGATATTGTTCTGTTAGGTACATGTATGAATTTAAACTAATTACAGTTTTTGCAAAAACCTATGACATCATAGGAGGGTGGAATAACCTTAATTGAATAAATATTAATGCAATCATTCTATTATCCAGGCGGTGGATTGTTTTCAGAAGTAAATTTCTTTACGATGCAAATATATATATATATCATCCTATAATTTTGTCCACTTCCAACCTTTATTGTTTTAAATGAAGTCAGTAAATTGCCTATAATACGTGTCCTAGTAAAAGTATGGAGAGAAATACAAAGAAATACACGTAAAGCAACAAAGTATTTTATACGTAGTAGCTTCGAGATTTTTAACTGTATTTGACAAGTAGACGATTTTAATCAAGTTGAAAAGACGTCTAACAAAAATTTTAGCCACAAATGTCACAATGAAGAACTATGGATGTAGAGTTGTACTATTTTCATGCCTAGACATGATAGCCAAAAGGGTCACATTCGTAATTCATTCCTTGCATTTAATGAATGTATTGAAAAGTAGTTGAAATACGAGTATACCTGTATATTAGATAGAGCATTATTATAGCAATCATTTTGAGAGTAAAACAGAAGTAATACTAGTCCTTTACCAGCAATAGTAATCCCAGTTTTCCCTTTAAAATAAAAAAAAAATCATGTTAGTGTTTTGCCACCGTAGTTTATTACCTATCAAGGTTGCTCACAAAATCCTGTGTAATTTCTATAAAAGTTTAAAAAGTGTGGAAAAGTAAGTAAGACAGACTGGCATACAGAGAGAAAAACATACAAATTCCAACGTAGTTAGTGGAATTCGTAGCTAAATAATTTGAAAGAAAATAATTCCCACTTGCTATAGCTATTTGCTATAAATATTTCCGCCTTTCAGATTTTGCGTCGTCTATTATCGCATTTCCATATAATTTGTTAAAGATACACAAGTTTGACGTAATTCGTCTTTATAAAGTGTCTAAATATTGAAAATACATGTACATGTATAATGTTTAATATTCTGTATAATTCAAGTTGCGCGATTCTTTTTTTTTTTTTTTAAAGTGTTAACTTATTGAATTCCTGAATGAAACATTATGCATGCCACAAATATGTTAATGTATGAGATTCAGAAATAAAGTTGAAGGAATTAGTAAGTCGTTCAAAATACCTTAAATATACACCATTGGTGTTACAGCTTGTGAAGTAGGTACATATGGCGTCAACTGTACAGGAGGATACTGTCCATATGGATACTATGGATTTGGCTGTTCACAAAAGTGTCATTGTACCAATGACCAGTACTGTGACAGGAAAACAGGATGTAGATACCATTCTACTTCTACAAACGGTAAGATTTTCCAAAATATTGTAAAATAAGTACCACTGACCAGTACTTTGACAGGAAGACAGGATGAAGTAACAAAACGTACAATCCCAATGTTATAAATGGTAAGAATTTCAATAAAAATTGTAAAATAAGTACCAGTGACCAGTACTTTGACAGAGAGACAGGTTGTGCCCTATATGTAAATATTACCGATGGGTACAGATGGCAATTTAAGAAAACTTTTATTTCTAGCTTTAATGAATATAACTAGAGGTATTGTGAGCAATGAGCTCACTAAATGATACCCCGCCTCCAATATGGTTATGATGGCTAAGTCCATGTTTAGCACTGGGACACCCTAAATAAATGTTAGATCAAAAAGTAAAATAGGCGGTTCACAATGGCACAATTTAATAAAAAATCTGTAAATGTATCATTGAATTTTATTCAGTGCAATGGGATGAATTATGGATAAGAGATGGGTTCCCTTTAATATCATTGAAAGAATGGCCGCACCTTTGTCTGAGAAATCCAAAATATTTGTACGATCAAAAATTGAAATAGGGTGTATTATGACCTTACATAACAGAGATTCTTTGAAAGCCTCATTAAATTTCATTCAGTAGTAAAAGAGGAATTGCAGATAAATGATGAGTACCGCAAAGCGTAACAAATGGACGTACAGACAGACAGACGGACAGACACCCCGATTACTATACAGTATTACCTTTGCATTTCAAGCTGGTGTTTATAAAGTATGCAAAATCTTGGTGTACACACTTAAAGCAATGTACATTTTATTACATACAAGTTGTAACAATAGTGATTGATTGATTGATTGTATATTGTTTAACGTCCCTCTCGAGAATTTTTTCACTCATATGGAGACGCCACTACTTGCCGGTGGAGGGCTACAAATTTTGTCCTATGCTCGGCACTCAGGGCCTTTGAGCAGTGAGGGATCTTTTTCGTGCCAGCACCTACTGCGACACGGGGCCTCGGTTTATACGGTCTCATCCGAAGGACCGGTCTCCACGTCCCACAGTGGGATTCGAACCCGCGACGTAAGGATTGACTCCTTACTTCGCGACTCTAGAGCAGACGCTCTAACCACTGCGCCACGCGGGCGACGTAACAATAGTGACATATATATATTCATTTTGGCGTGGTCGTTGGATATTTATTTCACTTACATTTTGCAACCAAAAGATCTTTTTTGGAAGTTGGTTGGGCAACTTATTGACTTGATATTACTATCTGGTACTGTTTAAAACTGAGGACTTGTTCCTTTGACAGGTAACGCTTACTCCTCCTGGACACCTGTGATCCCAGGCCACCTTAAGAGTTTCCATGGGCCCCTGTTTTTAAACTCTATACTCAATTCACGACGTTTTTTAAGAAAGAATTTGTTTATTGAATCAAACTTTGAATTCCTATAAAAAATACAAATTTATTTTAATTTTTGGGTGGGGTGGGAGGGTCATGTGGTTGTATTGTTTAGCTTCTTATCTTTTCTGCATATTTATTAATTTAAATTTTTTTTTCGGATAAAGCTGTAACAGGTAAAACGATTCCAATTGGTGAAAAAATGTTATACGTGGTCCTAGGGGTCTTCCTATCTGCTGGAATTTTTTCGACCATTATCATCATCCGTAAGAGGTACATTTTCCGCTATCCTTTTCCTACTCCTTCTTATCTTCCTATAAAATTAAAGCCTCGGTAGAACAAACACATGATTTGTGAAGAATGTTTGTGAAATTCAACTTACATGAATTTCAAATACCGGTATTTGATTATCAATATCATCTTTGTTCCTGACAAATAAGACCAAAAATAAAAATAACACACAAGGCATAATGCGTACAGTGGGCTCGAATTTAGATATAGTCAATTATCCAGTGGCGTAGCATCGTTTTTGAAAGTGGGGGGGGGGGGGGCAGCCAGAGAAAAATTTTTTTTTTTACTTACCTGAAAAGTTGAGAAGCAAAAAAACAAAAAAACAAAGTTGCCTTAAGTCCAAAATTATATTTCGTTGGGGGGTTGGGGGGGGGGGGGTTAGAGGTTAACTTTTTCTCAGTGTCAACTACTTTTATTACCATTCTAATACTACATTTTCGGTACATCTCTAAAAGTCTAAAAAGTGGGGGGGGGGGGGGCAACTAGGCTTTCAATTTACATTTCCTATAGTATAAGTAACGCTGGGAAAAAAGTGGGGGGAGGGCAGGCCCCCCTGCCCCCCTCCTTGTTGCTACGCCCCTGATTATCTACAAAGCTCCAAAGTAGAAAGTCGTCATATCGATAAATGCACCAGGTGTCATCATTCTTTGCACAAAAGAGAAATTCAAATATTTTCATTGTTTGTTTTTCTTCAGAATGAAATCTCAAAGAGAGTCAAGGTACATTGGTTCTATGTTCTTACCACAGTTTTATGCGAATCCTATTCGTGATAGAGGAGGAGATTCAAATGCAGACGACTATGAAGCTGTTGATACTCGGTCAAAAATCAAAGGAACCGGAAAAAGTCTTGCATGCAACGATCATGAAAATGAATATTTGGAAATAATTTAATTTAACTTGTAACAAGTCATTTGATTGAATAAAAGATTTCATCCATTTTGTATAACATAACTTGCCTACGTCACAATCAGTTACGTCAAAAAATGTATTAATCTGCTTGACGTTACTTTTAAAATTAAATCAATGTGAAGTTTATTCTGGTGGGAAAATTATCGCATTGTCTGCACTGAAATCAAATTATAGGGAATGAAGCTTAATTCAACTTATATTACACGATATAACAAAACGTGGGGCAGTTTATGCAGCATAAACTGCCCCAGGTTATATAAGTTGAAATTAGCTTTTCTTTCATTGATTTATATAGATACAGTATCATACAATACATTGTATACAGAGAGTATTTTTAACAACATACATAGTTTAAAATTTTGAAAAACACAAAATTGTAAAAATCCTATACATAATAGCAGAGACGCTATAAGCTACTGTACGTTATATAAATATCATTGTTTTGTATGTTTAATTTCCGTATAAAATGAAAAACAATGAATTCAAACAATGACAGAAAAATTAATCAAAGCAAATTACAGACTGACATTTTTTGACTTTTTGAAATAAGCTTTATTCCTTAAATAATTTGAAAGATGTATTAATTTACACATTTTTTAAACAATTTTTACTTAGGTATTTTAATTTTTTCAATATAGAAAACTATAACATACTCACAAACCTGCAATGTATACTGTAAAGCAAGACAGCTAATAAATTAAACTTATGACAGAAAATATTACCAGTCTGACACAAAAATACACATACCGGTATCAATATAAATGCCTACTTACATACATAAATACATATGTATATATAGTCCAATAAGCTTTTATTTTCTGAGTGATTTTTCACCCTTTAATCATGACTTTTTTTTTCCATTAAAGGGGCCGTTGTGTGTTGCCATTTTCAGACTATTTTGACCTCCTTTAAAAGAAGAGAAGAGCTCGATAGAAAGATAAACAAAAATGATCAAAATTTAAAACTAAATGTATGAAATTTTTCTCTGCCAAATGATAGTTGACGGCTTAAGTTATCCTATGTTTAAAATCAAGTTAAACCTGGTGGTTAATTTGTTGACCCCCTAGCCTCCTTAATGCCATTACCATTTTGAAACTTCCCCAAATGCAGAGAAAAGATAAACAGAGAGCACCTAAATTTTCAAGTTCTTAATGTTTATTCTATTGACTGGGCTTGTTTGTTATTAGTAAGAATTGTGTCATGTGACTAGTCAGCATGATTTGAATATTTTACTTTCATGTAAACTGGTTGAATCTGATTCGTCGAGAAACATTTGTTAAAAAACACTGTTACCCGCTGAATAATGAAGCCACACCCACCAACGTAGCAACAGTCAACATCGCTTGCAAAAACTGCAGACTGCGCAGAATGTATGTGCGCAAAGGTCACTGTAATACATGTATGAATTTGTATTCGGTATACTAGTAATGAAATAAATTTTGCATGTAGTCGAGTGCTACATTGAAATATTTGACTCAATTACATGCAATATCTATATACTAGTTAATTTGTTTTTTTCTATATATTTTGTTTTTCAGCCCAGCCATTTCATTGTTACATAAATTTATGCAATAAATAAAATATAAATTTAATCATTTGCTAGTTTCAATGAATAGCATGTTCACTCATTAGTTTTTTCTTAAAATACTGATTACAAACTTTTATTCGCGACTACTTTATTTCGCGATTTACTATGGGTAAACTAACTCGTTCGCGACGATGAATTTTCGTGATCAAGTATATATATATATATATATATATATATATATATATATATATATATATATATATATATATATATATATATATATATATATATATATACAGTCAAACTTGTCTTAGCGGTCACCCGAAATCAACGGCCACTTGCAGTCAGCGGCCACTTTTAGTTCCCCCCAATGATTTTTACTATATATTTTAACTGGAATAAACGGCCACCTGTGTAACGCGGCCAGCGGCCACTCAAATCCTCCCCCAACAGCCTTATTGACACTGTAATAGGCGGCCATCTCGTCACTTGTTGCGATTCTATCACAGTTTTAATTGTGATGGCTTGGGCAATTATATCCTCGATAGTCAATTTAACCTATTAATGCAATTAAAGAAATTGCTTTTAGATACGCTGAACTCGGGTTTTGTTCACGAAAAAAATAAATATTTGTCCTGTTAGATCAATTGGTAATTATTTTTCAAGATCGCCGATTGAAAAATTAAAAGAATTTTATTACTGTACAATTGATACTTTCCTCTAGCTAAAGAAATTCACACCTTTAGATTTTGATTCCATGTAGAAGCCCTAATTGCTACTCTTGTAAAAACAAAGTGCTTCATATGGCATGATTATCTCGTGAATTTCACTATCAAGAGACGATTGATAGGGATTAGTCACGCTCTACTGCATTTGACACCTGTGTTATGGAATGATTTTCAACTGCGTAAATACATATCTCTGGTCAACTGGTTAATTTTATTTTTGTGTATGTTATATAGAAATTCTGACAGCTTTATAAACAATGAAATTAATCAGACTTCATAAACTTCAGTAAGTAAGTTAATTACCGATTGATTAAGTTGGGGGGGGGTACACTGCTGACTATCTTTTTAACATATGTAAGTGAATTTTTATTGACATATTTTTACTTAAATTCCTATGATTTATTTTATAAACCATTAAACTGTATTTCTGTGTATTTTTTTCTTTATGAAAAGGATAATAGTCAGGCACTATATGTATTTCTTCAAATGAAAATTAAAAGAATTTTTTTTAATAATTCAATGTAACAAAAGCACACTTATGAATGCATGATGTTTAACTAATATGTAGGAACAGAAACATGCACAAAACCTTAAACATTTCGAATTCTTTAGTATTCTTTTTAAATGAGCTTGAATTATTATATATACACATAAAAAGCTTTTGTGAAATTGACCTGTGTAATTATTATTAGTTAATCTAACTGTAGTGCTTAATGTTGTTTATTTATTGACCGAATGTCCTTTTCGAGGGCAAACTGGAATAAGAGGCCACCTGTCTTAAGTGGCCAGTTTCCAGACTTCCCAAAGGTGGCCTCTTAAAACAAGTTTGACTGTATATATATATATATATATATATATATATATATATATATATATATATATATATATATATATATATATATATATATATATATATATATATATATATATATATATATGAGAAATGTTCGCGAGGCTCTCGCAAACCTCAAGAAAATTTCTAGAACACGAATAAAAGTTGGTTTACAGTACTATGTACAAGGAGTGTAGCAAATCTGCAAATAGCTAGAATTGTTCCCTATCATTGAAGGGAAAAAATTGTGGATATACGAGGGTCATTCAAAAAATACGTAGACAATGTTCCTCATCGTCATATTATTGTTGGAAGATTAAACGCCAGCACAGTTTCGTAAATAAAAACATTTATTTTGTCGAAATGGGAAGTTTCAATCCATTTGATTTAATAGAACTCATGTTAGCCAATTTTTAAACCAGCATGTTTTGTTAACACGGAACACGGTTGACCAACATTGAAACGTCAAAAACAATGTCGTGAGAGTTTCTCAATATTACATGTGTAACTCTGCTTTTTAATTCCAGACACATTCGTAACACCCTCTTCTTTCATAAAATACATATCCATGACACGTAACACCTAGTTTGCTAACAATTATTCAAATAGGTTGAATTAGATTGTCAGTGTTTTCAAATTCTTTACGCGTATTAACTCTATAAGTTTTGCAACAGTGAGGCGCGCATTATGTAAAATGACGTTTAACTCTTTTGACAAGATTTTTAACTATATCCTGATTCTTTGCAGACCATCCATCGTCTGATTCAAACTCGTTGCGATTCAAAAACTGTATTTCCCATTTTACACAAATAAAAGGCTTATTATTCATACATTTCCTGGTTTATACAGCATTTTGTAAGTTTGTTTAAAAATTTTCCCGACTGCAAACCAAAATTTTATTGCCACTCGCTGCTCCCTGACGTCCTCTGACGTCATGTTATTTTGCCTTTTTAAATCAAGTCCACATGTATTTAGAAACTGATATCATTTAAACGGAGTGATATATTACATTACCTGATAGCATTTTAAGTTATACAAAATGACTTAATTTAAACATGTAAATTTTATTTCGTTTCAGCTCCATTTATTAGAGGTATGGGTATAGATACTCTGAAGTAAAAATTAGTAAATTACATAATTTTGACGTTGCTCCGTGACCCCATTTTCGCTCATCTAAATCTTTGATAATTTTTATAAATATGACGATATATTCAAATTCTTTTACTCAAATTATTTGAATTCGTTGTTAAAGTATGTGTATAAAATTTGGATGTAATATGACGTTAAATAAAAAAGTTAGGACAAAAGTCTACGAACTTTTTGAACGACCCTCGTATAAGTACAGTGGACCTTCAGATATCCGGACGCCAGATATCCGGACGCTTCACCTTCCGGACGATTTTTCTCGGGAACGGATTTTTTAAACGTAATTTTGACTCATTTATCCGGAATTCCGCGTTCCGTATCCGGACGGCTCTTTTTTACTACAAAATGTATTTTTACGTTATAATTTGGTTCATTTATCCGGACGGTAAATTTTAATTTGTACTTCCACTCTTGTCAACATTCACGCCTGAACTGAGTGATAATTGTTATCAAAACACTGGCCGGATTGATTGTTTTTACAAGACGATCACCAGTGACCTGTTATGAATGTCTTACGATGATTAGTCCACAGATTAAGCATGCTAAGTGGATATGGTCATAATATACGAGAGATCGATACACAAATGAAAATAAACAATTAAC